TTTTTTTTGGATCCGCGTTCGGCGGAACGGCCGAACGCGTCGAGAGGGGGTGCCGAACGTTCGGGCATTCGGCCCGTCCCGAACGCCGGCAACCCTGTATATATATATATATATATATGTGTGTGTGTGTGTATACGTACCTATGTTTGGGTGTTCGTGGGGCCTAAAGGGTCCACGCTTAAGGGTTAAATTGGGGTCAAGGTTGAGAAAGGAAGAAAAATTATCTCTCTTTACTGATTGTTTGCTTTTTAAAGATTTCTTAGTCGGACGTTGGTCCTGGGCCTGCATTCGACGTCCTTGTCCAGGACATCCCAGGTCCTAAACGCTGCATGGAAGGGATCACCTCCCGCGTAGAGCCTATTTGCCCTGCCCATCGAGACACTCAGCCTAAAGGCAAGAGGTACCGCGGAGGCCGCACGACTGTTTCTTCAGCTGTGCAATATTGTGAAGAGGTGAACCTTCACGATACTTCGAGTTTGACACTTGAGTGTCATAAGCTATGCTTGAATCCACGAGCGACCGCTTGATAATGGGCACTACATAGTACGCCATCATCACGACTGCTTGCATATTCATACATTGCTAGTCGATATGGAAAGACCCTGTGTCCGCGCGGTTTTATACTAATTGCATATTCATACATTGCTAGTCGATATGGAAAGACCCTGCGTCCGCGCGGTTTTATACTAAGTCTCACGCGCGTTGCATATCTGATGCAGCGGGCCTCCATCTGCCCTGGCCTACAGCCAGGGCCTATTTGGCTATTTGCCAGTTCGGCCTGTGGGATCAGGCCACGGCCTGATCCCCACAGGCCGTAAGCTGTTCCAGTCCTGCCCTGTACCAGTGTTGTATCAGGCTAGTCTTGTCCAGTCCGTCAGTCCGCTGGGGGTATACCCCAGCTGTTGTGTGTTTTTCGTCATTCATCATTTTTGCGCCTGTTGGAGTACGTGTGGTGTTGAGTTTGCGTCGGAGTTGCGCTGTCCTTCCAGCTCCATCTCCACTTTCTCCTTCCTCTACCCCTTCGTCTCCATCCTGTCGGACCGCCATCTCGGCGGGTCCGACACACTGGTATCAGAGCGGGAACGGTCCCCGTTCCAACCCGCCCTCCCTCCCGCACGTAACAGTGGGAATCGGTGTAATCCCGATAGCGGGATTTTAAGGGGTTTTGGGGGGGGGAAACAGTGAAAAAAACGGCGGAAAGAACAACAGCGTGGAGAGACGGACAGGGGTTTTGAGGGCGAAAACAGCGAAAAACGGCGGAAAGAACAGCAGCGTAGAGAGACGGACACGTGGCGAAAAGGAGAGGATCATCACGACGTGTGCGCACAAGCGCCAATTCCAAGGCCGCCGCACGCGCGTGCACACCATGCGCCCACGCTGCCCCGCTCCCCCGCCCCGCCCCGCTCCCGGATATATATTATCAAGATCCGGGACGGTGCCACTGCCAGGGTTTGAACATGGGCAGCTGACACTCATGCGCGTGTGTAGCCAGTGCCTTAACACACTGGCCAAAGCCACAATCTAGGTTGAGATTGCGGCATGTTGGTGTTGTAGAAGTGCCACGACAACTATTTACACCCCCCCGGCCCCCCGTCAGCGAGCGGCAAGGCAGCTATTTGCCCCCCCTCCCCCCCCTCCTCCCGGACGGGCATTGTCGGTGCAAATACCCTTACAAGGGTATCCACCCTGGTTTTTGTAAGTAACAGAAAGTGGTTTGGTTTAAAGTTGAAGTACTCCTCGCTAAGCGCGGCTGTGTCTGTGGTTTATTTTTATGTTCCGTAGAGTGGTGTGCGTGTGGTGTATGGGATGCGTCCTAGTCGACCGGCGACGAGTCCCGCTTGGGACCTCAGTCCCCCAAGATGTCGGTTTGCGTGCAGGTTCGATAGAGGCGTAATACCGCACGTACCCCCTATGCTACAGCGAATGAGAAACTCCCTCAGCTGGTCCACCTCTGCGATTGCAACTGATCAGCTTTCGTACTGTGAATTGGTAGCTCGGCGGGGATACGCCCACCGAAGGGAGGAGACAACTCCCGTAAGGTGGAGATAAGTCGTGCCTCACGTAGGCCCTATCATGTCGTAGGGGCTTGCGGGAGGTATGGCTGACGCACTCGGCCGGAGCGGCTTGCGGAAACTCCATGTATAAACGCCAAGAGGATTTAGACCAACTCCTGCGTGACGCGGCCGGGAGGGTCCCACGCTGCCTTGTGTGGTGCCGGACCGATGCGCTCAACAGTGAGGCGAGAGTCATCGTCCACTCGCATTGTACACTGGGATGATGAGGGTGCCGCGACAACACAGGTTGCTGTCGCGTCGGCAGAGGTCGCTGCCTCCCCTGCAGAGTTTGGTGCAGCGTCGAAAGAGGTTGTAGACGGGTCTGTAGAGGTTGTTGCCCCGTCTGCAGAGGCTGTTGTAGCGTCGACAAAGATTGCAGCCGGGTCTGCAAAGGTTGGTGGCGCGGTTGCAGAGGTTGGGAGGGCATCTGCACAGTTCGGTGTCAGTTTGAGTGACGACATGTTTGGTGCTTCGTTCGGGCTTCCTCTGACGCTGGCAGGCGAGCATGGTAGTGGTGGTGTGGACGCACAGGCTACGCCAATCAGTCAGATCCTTAGAGGTTTCCCTTCATGCAGCGTGGGTGACATCAGTAGCAACATGTTGCGGGAGGTAGCAGAGGAGACACAGGGTTTGTTGGGGCAGTATGAGCATGTAGTAGGGGATGATGGGGAGTGCCGACCTGTGCAGGAGCGAGTGCCAGAGTCGGAGCAGGACAAGACCGACCGCGAGGAGAGGGAAAGGGCGCTGGAGTTGGCTAGGCATTGTGAGATGACACAGAGTATTGCAGCGAGGGCACGTGAAGAGCGGATGCTCGAGACGGGTGATGGGGCGGGTCATTGTATGGCGGAGGATGCAGAGGTTGAGTGTGGCGGTGCGGTCCGTGGGGATGCATGCGAGAGATCTGCATTGTCGGTTCATGGTGTTTGTGTATTGCCATTCGTTGGAGCTTTGTCGGCGGGGGAGTTAGAGTGGCAGGCACGGGAGGACCCATTGCGGGCAGATCGACGCAGACGGATGGATAAGGCATCGAGGAGGGTCATGGCAGAGGGCCCAGCTTACGTGTCGTGCAGCCCTTCAGTGCCATCGTCTACCACAAATGTCATTCTGCCCACACAGGCCGAGGGTCCAAGCACGACACCGAGTCCTGCATCGGCACCTGGAGGGGAGTCTCCTTCTCCCAAGTCATGGAAGAAGAAGATGAGAGCAGGAAAGAGTCTTAGTACTATGAGGAGGGTGACCCACCAGATGTGGGCGAGTCAGCCTGGGTTGGCCGGTTTACATCCACGGACTCGGGAGGCATTGGGCCGGGACGTTGTTGCGAATGCAGTAGGTTGGCGGGAGAGGGCCTTTACCCGGGAGACAGAGCAGCGGATCAGCGCACCTGCTGAGGTGACGGTGCCACGTCCTAGAGGGCAGATTTCCACTACCTCTAGGGAGGAGCACGACGAGCACAGTTGCCCCCCGGGGAGGAGCATGACCGGACGTATATTGGGGGAGGATGTGAGGGTATTGACGACAGCGACCATCACAGACAGCCGTCGGCTGGGAGTCGGGTACCGACGATTTAGAGATGCCTCTTGGCCAGCGGAAGAGGGTTTCCGTATACGACCTTCTTCGGGCACGGGGCAGGGTTGAGGCGGCAGCACAGGGAGGGATTCGTGCTCCAGATACGGCGCACGGGCCGGTAGGTGGCACGGGTGGCGGGCATGGTACCACTAGTGTGGCGCCGCAGAGGAGGAGGAAGGACATTGTGGACGACGATGATGCTTAGTCCCACCATTGGTCCTCGTCCGTCCTCTATTTTCTAGTAGTGTATAGTACCTTTAGTACTTCAGATGAGGTCATGTGTTTATAGGTGCAGTATGTGCAACTCGTCAGGACTGGATGTGTATTCGTATCGATGTTTCATGAGTTTGCACACTGTCTTCATACATAGGTGCAGTAGGTGCAGTTTTTGTTTTTTTTTCGGTTTATTTTTCTATCAACTTTTTAAACGATTGCACACTTTCTTCAAAATTGTCGTTGTTTGAAATCATGAACTTGATGCAGTCTTGATGCAGTTTTGAACTTGTCTCATCGTGTGTTTCGTTCGCCTGTCATGCAGTTGTTAGTAACCCCCACACACCCCTCCCCAAACCCCCCCCACACACAAACACACTCTCGCCTTACCAAAGCCCTCACACACCCC